CAGGACAGCACAAGTGGCTCTATTGATGTGAGCAGATTTACGGGGACGTAAATAGCTGCAAATATGTCAGGAGAGCTCACAAAGACCTTATAGAAGGGTGAGTACCAAAGACAAGGATAACAGAAAAACTCTCAGGAAGGACTGAGCAGCCGTATTTCTTGCAGGGTCTCCTTCATACTGGCTACACAACAGAATTCAAATGAAACTGCTAAATAAGGACTTCCCAAAGGACAGTCATTAAAAACTTCTCCAGAAAAAAAAGAAAGGTGGGAAAGAAGAATACTCCAGGAGTGGGCAAGGTGATCTGGGGGAGTAATTATACTATAGGAGGAGAATTCATAGCCAGAAAATGCGGTTCCCAGTGACATAAGCAAGAAGGAAGAGACTAACCATTCTGGAAGCCAACAGAGACCCACTCGGTCTGTGTTCAAACCCGCAAACCATGAAGCCCATTCTCAAAACCAGCTCTGATTCATACACAGTTGAAGGCTTGGATATTTCCGCAAGGAATATCTTAGGAGCTGTCAGCACACTGTAAGCAGAGAGCAGGTATGAGTTGAACAAGATGAATGGAGTTTTTCCTTTCTGGAACTTATAACACAGAAATGAGATTTTCTCAGGCAAAAATTGCTTTAAAAAAAAGGCAAATTTACCTGCTTGGAACTTGCTATGAGAAAGCGTGGGGAAACTAAAAGGTAGCAACAGATAGTAGCAAGATCGGGCACTGGAAGTACAAAATCTGAGATAAAGAACCCCACAATTTTGCTGTCAAACTCTATCTAATAAAGGAACAAAAGGATGCTGGTGAGTGGCTCCAGAAAACATCGCTATCTCCAAAATTGGCATCCATAAAACAATCAGTGTTTGTAACTATATATATATATTGTTTCCCCTCCTGGTTGTCTGCTCTCCCTCATCCCAGTTGTTCTTTCCTTTCGAGCAGTTTCATTCCCTTTCATAATATTCATTGTACTTTTCAGATCTTATTCAATTTTTCAGTTTCTTGCATAACAGAAACCATACAGTGTTTACACATGTGACTTTGATTAATTCAGTTATGATTGTGGTCTCTGGTTGCATCCGTTTACCTAGAAAAGCTTCGGTTCAATCTTCTTTAATAGCTCAGTAGTACCCCATTATATAAAAAAACCACATCTTTTTTTTTTTCTTGTCTTTTTCTTTTCTTTTCTTTTCTTTTTTTTTTTTTTTTTATTGGTACCAGGGATCGAACTCAGGACCCCCTGCTTGCAAGGCAGGTGCTTATGCTGCTGAACTAAATCCCCAGCCCCAAAAAGACCACATCTTTTTTAACCATTCCTCAGTTGATGAGCATTTAGGTTGTTTCCAAGAGTTAGCTACTACAAACTGTGCTGTTATAAACATGCGTTGCTGTGCGATGATCTTAATTCTTCTGGAAAAATACCCAGAAGAGGAATAGCGGAATCAAATGGAACTTCTAATACTAGTTTTTTGAGGCATCTCCACACTGATTTCCACAGTGGTTGCACCAATCTACACACCCTGCAATAGTAAAGAAGGTCTCCTTTTCCCCACAGCCCTGCCAGCATTTGTTACTGCTTGATTTTACTATGTTAGCCATTCTTTCTGGTGTGAGATGAAATCTCAGTGTTATTTTAATTTGAAATTGTCAAGTGACTAATGATGCTATACATTTTTCATATATTTCTTTTTTTATTTTTTCATCTAAAAATTGTGCATTCCTCTCAAAGCACATTTTTAGATTGGTCTTTGAGTTTGAGGGGTTTGATTTTTTTTCAGTTGTTTGTCTTATATAGAAGTCCTTTGTCTGAGGGACACTTGGCTACTATCTTTTCCCACTCTGTGGGGTTTCTTTTCACTTGGTGATTTTTTTGATGTGCAAAAGCTATTTAATAAGATGAAATCCCAGTTGTTGATTCATTCAAGTACTTTAATTGATTATAAATTGAACATAATGAGAGAGTATATGAACTGAATATTACTAGCAATATGATATGCAAGAGGTGTCCTCACCTTAATCTGAAGTCTGATTTGCCTTATCTGCTTCCCAGTGTTCCATGTAAAGGTGCCACAATCAGAGGCTGCCTTGAAGACAGAAGTCAAGACCTGGCTCTTAACCTCTTACTCCTTAAAAGCATGATATCACTTTCTTTTGTGGGAGTCAGGGACCTAGAAGCTGACCCTGCAGATGCCCAGTACATTGCATAGCAGGATGAGGCTCGGCATCTCTGCTTTCATTTTATCCCTCACTTTTTTTAACCTTTAATCTTCGGAACAAAGATTTGTTCATCTCTGCTCATTCTCTAGGAGTCTGTCTCACGATATTTACTTGCCCTAGATTTATCCAGCCAATCTCATATCCCTTCCATACTGAGGAATTCTCAGGAACATCCCATAATCATACACTTTTCTAATGTCCAGCTGCAGATCCACTTGGAGCAAGGTCTAGAAATGTGCAGTCCTTGCCCTAACACTGAAATCACCTGGTGTTCCAAGAAAAGCAAAGCCTGACAGGACACCCATGATGAGGTCTTTTTCAAGCAAGAGCCATCATCTCAGGGAATCAAGCTCCCCCCAGGCCACCAAGATTCCTCCAGAGCTATGAACCTGAAGTGAGATGATGACCAGGCACACTCAGCCCTATAAAACTGGTCCATCCTTCTGTGATGGGGCCAGTCTCGTCCACTTCATCCTACCCCTGCCCCCTTCAGTTCCTCATACTGAATCCGCTCTCCTGTTTTCTCTTCTTTTCTTGTATTAAAGTGTCTTCCTGACCTCTGTCAGAAGAATGACCCTCTTCATTTTCCCTTACTTTCCAATGAAAGCTTTTTCCTGCAAATTTGTGGATTCAGCTTTAATTTTGATGATCAAAAAAGCAAAGACCCGTGCTACATAGTGATAGAGGGGCCATGTTGCTTATGCTGTGGTCAGTGAGGCCAGTGGGCATGAAGCAGCAGGCCTTAGTTCAGTGGAGGCCAGTCAGCAAAATAAGAGCCAGAGTGAAGACCAGTCCAGGAATTCAACCTCAGTTTGAAGGTAGATTTCAGGAGACATCTGCCCTGCTGAGGAGGGAAAGCAGTCCTTGACTCCACCCACCAACGTCATCTCTGCTGTTCCCAGGCTCCCTGAGGCTGGGAGAAATTCCCGTTGAAGGGTGGCAGCAAAGGTGACTGTCCTGGCAGAGAGGCATCCCAGTCTGTGTACCTGAGGGACTGATTTGCAGGAATAGATCTCCCCCTGGAAATGGAGCCTGGCAGTGAGACGCCAACTGAATCTTAAGTCAGCAGACAGTTCTAGAACCAGGACTATTAATTTCCCATATAAATGCTTGAGAAGAAACTTTTCTGCCTGGGTAAGTCAAATACCAAAGTCGACATTCAGAGAAACACTGTGGAATCATAAGCATGAAGCAGACAAAGGGTGGAAAGGGCCCCTGTGCCCCACTGCAAACTGTAAAACCTCATCCAATTTTCTGTAATGTTTGTTGCTCCTCCTCAGACCTGGAGAAGTGAGGCAGGCTGACCACCGTGTTCCTGACAGTCTTCCACAGTCCACATGGAGGGCGTGTTTGCCTGACACCCTGGAGTGAGGGTCTGAGGACACATATGGCGGCTTCTCAGGCCCTGCTGTCCCTGGCCCTGCCCTGTCCCTGCAGCTCTACGCAGAAGGAAATAGTCCCCGCTGGGTTGAGATCCCTCCCCTTCTCCACTCCTCTTCCATTACCAAGGATGATAGCTTTCAGCATGAAATTAAGGTAAATTGTCCAGGTGAGTCAGGCAGTGTGGGAAAGGAAAGCTTCAGGGAGAAAGTGGACAGGTGGAGTGAGACAGTGTAGCTGGGAAGGACAAACACAGGTGCAAAAGCAAGTCAGTGCTGGTTATAACAGGGAGAGGTGAATTAACTTTCGCTGATGGAACTTCTTTCCCTTAAATTATTTCTCTCTTCTCCCTCCTTATTCATTAAAAAGACACTAGGGAAGATGAAGAAAAAAGAAAGGAAGAAAGAAAAAAGTTAGCTCAAGAATGAGGGCAGAGGGAGAGATGAAGGAACGATCATCTTCTATTACTTTCAGTCTCCTTACTAAAGAGAGTGTGATTTATTTAATAGGAATCCTGCAGGTCATTAGAAAATTGTCTTGTCTTGTTCCAGATGTTTCATTTTCCCTGGAGTGTCACCCAGAAGGACACAATGTATAATAAAGAGACGAACTATGAAGGGAACGGAGAGAAACGGAGAGAAATAAATTTAAAATTATTTTAATGTAAAAGGTACAGTGATTCTTTCACTTGACACAGATAAGCTAAATATCAAAAGTAGTCTCTTATCTCCCTGCTGGGTTAATGGTCTATGTAAAATGCAAATATTACTTCTGTTTCATAAGATTGTTTATCACAGTGCAGCGGTAACTTCCTAGACGTAGGGATTGGGTCTCTCTACTCTGACTTGGTACCCAATCCATTCAAGCAATAATTTTAGAAAGCAAAAGATACATCGTGAATATATTTTGACCTCTACTTTCCTTGGTGGACTCAAGGGAGCAAAGTTACGTAGGTTGCACTGGATCTGAGGTTTTCCAAGGAATTAAAGGCACAAGAATCCATTTTAGTAAGGTTAGGTCAGAAAACAGGAATTTAATAGATTTTTACATTCTTTTTCTTTTTTTCTCCCTTTCCATAAAGGTTTGACTTTTAAGCAAACTGTCCACTTAGAAAATGAGAAAGAAATATAGTTGATTTTAACATCCTGAACACTCAGTCCTGAAATTTTGCGTATTCTTTTGGCAAAGAGAAGGCACTAAACACTGAGAGTGCTTCCTAATGAAACAACCAAAAGCTGATAAAAACATAAGCACCGGACATCAGGAGCTTGAGCTTTGCAGCAGCCCGTTATGCTGCTGTCTGCACCATATGGAAATATCCAGAAGAAACCTCAAAGTTCAGTAAATCAGAATTTATTGAAGACGCCAACTTGAGCAGGTTCCCCTTGCCCCGCGTCCCCCAAACCTCCAAAATACAAACATGCGTGGTGTTTGGAAGTGCAAACCCGGAATACAAAGGGAACAGAGAAAATATAACAGACAAATCAGGAGAGTAAGCAAACAAACAAAAAATAGAAGATTTGAGTGGTGGAAAAGAGGGCAGAAGAAGCCAAACAGTACCGGATTTATTCCATGGCCAGTCCAGCCCCTGGATAGCCACATCGCCCTGGCTGGAATCATTCTGCAAACAGCACTGCTCACTTCAGGGGGAGCCAGTGCTGAGAACCCCTGAGGCTCCTCCAGCTCTGTCCAGGGTCATGGCAGCCAGCTGAGACTCCTCACCCCATGCTTCCCTGCTCGTCACGTGATTCGGGCTCAGCCAATCAGTGTGCATTCTCCCATTGATGGTTTGAAGCATTCCAGGTACAGAAATGTGTGCATGGATGTGTTTATAACTGACCTGGCAGGGCAGAGGGCTTGGCCTAGGAGGAATATACATGCTGATATAGAGACCGTGGAGCATGTACAGAACTGGTGTGATGGACGTTCATTCCAGGGGAGGGGCAGTTTTTGGACCACCCCACATCTTCAGTACTGCAGATGACTGTGTTCTTCCTGTGTTCTAAGAAAACCACAAGGGTTATTTTCCAAGACTCTCATTTGCCCAGTCTCATCACCCTAGAGAATCTTACAGCATAACTCATCACCCAGCATGCCTGCAAATATTGCCCTTGGCTTGCCAGGTGTCAGGACCCGACATCCTCCCTGGGGTCCCCGTTTCTTACCATCTTCCTGGCCCTGTGCAGCCACACTCTGTCCCAGATGATTTGAAACTGGTGGATTCCTGCTCTGTGAAATGTGCCATCAGGTGAGCTGTACTCAAAAAATTAGTGGGCTATGCTGTATTTCTCATTAAGGCAGTGTGATTCTTAGAGAACAGAAGTACACCTGGAAGGGAAAGGTTAAAAGGAAGAAAGATCAGAAAGAAGAGATAGAGGAGTGGGAAAAATGGCCAAGGGGAGGGCAGAGATAAATGTGCAAAACTGGAGGAGTTTAAACGGGGAGCCTCATAATGTACAAGAAACCGTGGCCTCAACCCCAAAGGATACCATGAATGGAGGACCATGCACCTCCTCACATCACTGAATTTAGATCATCCTCTTAACATAATATGCTGAGGAACAGAGTATTATTCACTGGCCGTGAAGCTTGTTCTAAATTGATACCCTAGAGAAATTATTTCTAAGACACAGTAATGATGCAGATTTCATGCTTGAGGACACTCCTCACTGTAGATCTTATACTAGGTACTTAAAAATAATCTGTACACATGTGACCCATACTTAGACACTGCCCCTGTGTTTTTCCCTCCTGCTTTGCCATGAAGAAAAAAGGAAGGGAGGGGTGCGGAGGAACATGGGAAGGAGAAGTCTTATGAGCTTGTTTCTGAGAAGCTTCTTTCAAAACAACTAAGATGACTGAGTCACCCCTGCCTTTTCGAATGAGCCAATTGTTCAGAAATTTAGTCCCAGGGAAGAGAGGAACAAAGTCATGTGGTATTTCCCACACTTGACAATTGTTTGAGCCGCTTTTAAAGGATGAACACTTTGATGCTCTAAGAATGTGTTTAAATCACTACTGTGGCAAATCCTGTGTTTCTGGTCATTCAAGAAGATGGAGCTATGAGGGCTGGGGATCTAGCTCAGTGGCATAAGTGCTTGCCTGGCAAGCATAAGGTCGTGAGTTCGATCATCAATACCAAAAAAAAAAAAAAAAAAAAAAGGAAGACAGATATAGGCAAGGTCACAATATCAAAGACAGAGGACGGCCACATGGAACAGAACAGGACACACAGTTAGTGCACCCCATGGGCCCCTCCAGCCACTGTGTTAGAGAGAAATACAGTCCCAAAAGGAGTGAAAGCCAACTTTTCAAAGAATAGAAATCCAGATTTTTATAAATTTCTTGACTTTAAGATCTTGCAATCACTCTAAATCTCTGTCACATGTGTTGACAAAAAAGAATTCCTTTGAGGTCCACATGTGGTTGAGAGTGAAAACTTCCTTTAGGGTAACTTTGGTGCAGATGAGAATTGGAATGCAGGGCCAAGGTAGAAACTGGACCCATGAACGTGATCGGTTGTGGAGGCTGTGTTAGTCACTGCCTAAATCATGAAGCTTTACTTGTCAGTTTAGGGCTCGGTGTGGGGAGGCAGGAATCCCTGCTCCAGGCCAACCTGGAGCTCCCAGCCTCTTCCATCCTGTGTCTCTCTTGTCCTGATTTGATTGTGAAGATTCCCATCCCATTAATCATAAGTATATTTCAACTCTTGAATAATTTGAGGCTTTTTCTGAGTTTTGTCAATTGACATATGCTTTTATTGGGCACTTACAATTCACTTTAAATTTTTTTTATCAATTTCGTAATTTGTGCTTCATTTTTCCAGTGTAGAATCCGTTTGTTTTTTATCACCAGGATATACCAGCAAGACTGTATTGAAACCCTCACCAGCCTCACCTGAATTAGACGTGGTAACATGGTAACCGCAAGCCTGCAGAACTGTGTCCCTGGGGATAGAAGACTCAGCTTCTCTGCTGCCTTCACTCTGTGAGGGAAAGCACCACGCATAAAGGACAGGACCCACTGAAAGGGCGCAGGTATGAGCTAGAGACCAATGTGTGTCCTCAGTGCTCCTCTCCCTGTCTTCCAGGTGCACCTCTGGCCACACCTCCCCAGCCTCCATTTTGCAAGGGAAACGTTGGACTCAGTGCTGGCCCATGGCATGTGGACAGCATTCCCCTGTGCCCCTTCCTGATGTGGCTCCAAGCATTCTCCCATCCTCTTAAAACTGTCTTTTCTATTCTGTGGTCCAAGGCAAGGAAGCTGCCAATGCTTTTGGAGTCTTCTAGGCATTGAAGCCACAGCATGGGATGAGCCTAGGTGCCTAGGTGTGGAATGGAGTAGGAGTGGACTCTCCATTCACTAACAGCTGTGTTATCACTCTCAGATCTGCTTTAGCTAATCTAGATCTTAGTGACTAAAAGTGTAACATGTGACTTACACTGTAAGGCCCCCACAGAATTGGAAAAACATCTGGTGCCAGAGAGGCGGACCTCAAGATTAATCTTCAGGCTTCCTGAAGAGTATGAGTGCTATGATTTTATTTTTTTAATTTTAAAGCTATTAAAGGAAAAGGAAACAAAACAATAAAAACAAAACCAAGAAGTGGGGTTGGTGTGAATTCCAAAATGCTTCTCGCCTTCAGTCCCAAAGAATGTTTCGGGAATATTTTGGCAATTGACCTTTCTCCACAATCAGTGCTTGCAGTTCACTTGTCCTACTGTTTTCTAGGTACTAATCACTCACCACTGTCTGTGCACTAGGAAATGTGACAGAGGTTGAAAAAACTACAAAATGTCACCCTTGCAACTGCTAACGTTCTCCAGTAGAAATTTCCACAATAGAAAAAACTGTTCCTGAATTTTGATTTTCTGACTGTTTCGTGTTTATCATGAGGAAAATTCAAGATGGGGGGATATTTTATTTGCTATCATAACTAGTCTGTTCCCATGGTGAAGGGCTGCCTCTCTCCATCATTCCCTGTGTGTTAATTCTATTGTTGACTTTCAATTAGACAGATGAGATCAAAGATAAAATAATTCAAGTGATACTGCATTGTCACTGTGCAAACAGGAATAGTCATTCACAGTAATAGCTACAGAGCATAAGTGTGCACTTAACCCATGTAAATGCTACTAGATCTGAGTCTCCGCTGCCTCTTTCCACATTGCAGGGAGATTCACATTCTGAATCTAGTTTATTCACTTGTAGTAAAAGCCAACACCCTCCCAGCAGGCAGTGACCACATTAGACTTCTGTAGACAAAGCACTGCAAAATCACAGTCTCCTTAGGACCAGTTCCTGTGGATGACTGTCACCATGGGGATGCAGCAGCTGTGTGGGGATAGTTCCTTTGTTGACTCTGGTGTGGGTTCCTATGGTCATACCTCTGAATATAGATGCCCATTTATGTGTTGCATTGTCTCTGCACTGTGTGAAATTCTTACTGCTTAAAGTGTGCAACTCAACCTCACAGCACCTTCATGCTCACTTCCTGAGAGAGGAGCACCTCACAACAGAAGTTACACAAGCTGTGGTTTTGCACAGGTGATGCTGACCCCTGGCTTCATGGTTGAAGCTGAGTTTGCATAACTGAACTTCAGTTGGTCTCCGTGACTGACGGAGGAGGACAACACATGACTCTGGTATTTAGTGTTGCCCTGACCATAGAGACTAGTTAAAGACTGCAAGTAGCCTGCACTGGGTTGGGCAGGGCAGTCACAGCCTTCCTGGCCTGGAGGAGGGACTTTCAGGCCTGGGTGGTCTAAGGAAGTCCAGAAACGTCAGCAGCATGAGCATCAAGGTGACAGGGAACGATGATGAAAGAGCCACAAGATACTGAGCCTGGCTTTGGCTGAAATGCTAGCTCTGCAGTGTCCATCTGTCTCAGTTGTACACAGGCTAACTGGCCATTTGGAATACATGACAAAGGCAAGAAAACACCCACCAAGCCTCAAAACAGGAAAGACATTCCTCACCCGCTGTCCAAGATCAGCCAGTGAGTGAATTTGTCTCCATGAGGATGAGGCCTTTCCCACTTTCAGGCTCCTGTGTGGTGTGATGACTCAGAATCCGTCTCTGGAGCCTCTGCAGTGAGCAGATAAACTGAGGAAAGGTAGGATCCGAAGGAAAGAGAAATGGGCTTGGTAAATCGACACCCATGGTGAAAACATCACGTATTTCCCCTCGGCTAGCAATTACTTTAACAATGAGGAATGGTGTCTAGGTATGGATTCTAGAGGAAGAGGAAGATGGTTTCCTAATCTTGAAGCCAGTTTATGCTCCAAGAGCATCACTGACATTTTGAGATGGTTGAAGAGAGGAGAGGAGACAGTGCAGGTCCTGTGTCTTCACCATAGCCCCTGTGACCACAGTGGCCAGGCAGCACATTCAGTGGCATCTCTGGGTCTTCCCATGAGGCACCAAGAGCATCTTTCCAATTGCACCAGGCAGATTTGGCTTCAGATGCAGCATTACCAAGCATCCTCAGAGGGCTCGGTTAAATCCTGGATGCAGGCAGCATTCTTCCTATTGCAGCTAGCATGGAACCTAGTAAAAACACTATTGGCATTCGGTGCGACAACCAGCTGTGGTAATTTTTAGGGTTGTTTGCAACACGGAATAGCACTTATCAATATTAAGTAACACTGCAAGTGGCAATTAAAATATACAGGGAATGCGTGCATTTAAAAATACAGTAAAGGAAACATCTCCACTAATCTCCCCTCAAAAAACAAAACTGTCACTCTGAACACATTGATCCTGTCCTTCTTGCCTATTTCTGAAGCAGTTCTGGAGGTTCTCTTTCGCGATTGTCCTTCTGAGACATGATCAAAAGTGTGCGGCTTGCTGCGGCTCAGTGCTCCTCAGTGGGAAGCCAGCACCACAGAAAGCCTCACTGTGTGTCCTCGTCTGCCTTATTCACAGTCTGGGAGCTTGAGACTCCCAGCTCATCCCCAGATCAAGGTGATCACAGAAGGTAAATATTTTGCATCCATTCACAGCATCAAGGCAGCCATGACAGCACAAATAAAGACATTCAGGAAAGAGGAGCTCAGAACCACTGCAGAAGCAGGACAAATGCTGGGGTGAACATGCTCCAAGTGAGGGCCCTGCTCTGAGGGGATTCATGGCAATGTGCCTTTCACTGTGACACTTTTTAATTAAATAATGGAAACATTCACTGTATTTCTCAGTCACACTTCACATGCCGACATCATTAATACCACACTGATGCCAAGTCCGAGGCTTCATGGGTAAGACAGGTCCTCACTGGGTAGGAAACAGCCATTAGACAGTCATGTATCCATTACATTTTTGGAAGTGACTTAACATCTTTTTCCCTAGAGACTGCTTAACACAGATGGTGAAATACGCTATTGCAAGGTAGATGGTCCATTGTCCAGTGTCTCCTTGTCTCCAAGTCTCTAAATCTTCTGGAGGATTAATGTGCAGAGGGATAATGTGTCATAGCAATAGACAGCAGGTGGGAGAAAAGAAACGCACATTTCAGTTTCCTAGAGCAACCAATGGCCCCGTCCACTGAGAGGTCGATAATGCACACTTCAAGTGTGTGTGCGTATTTCAGAACGGCTCTCTCTCCTCACCAGCAGCCCGTGGTCAAACAGAAGCAGCAGCATTGTTTATGTGAGACTTGCCCCCTGAAGCCAAGGACTGATATTCTAACAGCAGAGATGGGAAGATTCCTAGGACTCCTTCCAGCCTTGATGACTCCCAGCTATGCACTGAAGAGGGAATCAATCAGACCATCAGAGGAGCCCAACCTGTCTGAAAATCCCCAGTTCTGCATGCCCAAGGAAGTAATTTTCCTCAGAGAACACTCACCAGGCAAAGACCACTGCAACAAGATTCTTTGTGCTGCAGAAGCTCTTGGCAGTTCCTTCCAAGCCTCCACCAAAGCGAAGATCTTTTCAGGAATATCTTAATGAACTGCTCTGGTGCACACTTTAGGTATGTCTTCATCTTTTGGATGAAGTTTCACAGGGAAGTGCCGCGGGAGTCCACAGGGATGAACAGGAAATTCTCCTCAGTTCTCAGAGGAGGAAACCCTGAATATGGTGGGCTTTCCTCAGAAGAAGGCATGCTTTTTTTTTTTTTTTTTTTTTTTTTTTTAATTAGCCTTAGCTCATCATCTTTGACCTCAAAGCTCAAATATAGAAAATGGTGTTTTAAGTTCAGATGTCTTACTCTGCTTGATAATAACAATGACTCTTGGCCCATTAAATCTAGCTCAATTGCTCAGATATTATGTACCTTTTAATAACACTGTATCTGCTGAAATTTTCCAAATCCTCTATGTAGTCTTAGCCAAAAATCCCACTCACAGCTATTATTTGCTACCAGACTAGAACAGATGGTGATCTTGTCTTTACAGAGTTTGATGCTGGGAGGTGCGGAGTTGTGGAATTTTGGCGGGGCAGTTTTGTCCAAATACAAATGCTCATTTCTATCTCTTTCACTGAATTTCAAGATGTACAGTGATAAAAGCTTTTCCATCCACTTCTCTGTGTGAGGAAAGTTACTATTATTATTATTATTATTATTGCTCACTGTGTTGCTGTCCCCAAAGGGCCTAGACAGAATGGGAAATCCCAGGGGTGAGGAGGAGGATTAAGGCTTCTTCCTCCTCAGGAATCATAAGAGGTTACTATAGAAACCAGAGGCCCCATTTGTCTTCAGATTCTAGAACCTCCAGAGCTTAAAGAGCAGGTCCTAGCTGAGGGCTCGTTGGCCACCTCTCCATGGACACTCAGAAGTGAGTACAGCTCTGTTTACACCAGACCCTGAATCTGTGCTAAGACTCAGCTCAGGGTGGACTCCACATAGGAGAGAAGTCCAAACCGCATTACTTAGAATGTTTTGGTTCATTCTCATTCTCTCTGTCTCTCTCTCTCTCAAAGATACATTTTAAAATTTATTGTTAATTGATCAAATTTTATGATTGGTATATATTATTCACATCTACCTAAGAAGTATAGTGTTATGTTTATGTTGGATATTGGTGGTTATGTGTAGTTGATGTACCTGTCACCTTAAATTTATGTTACTATTTAGGGAGAATATATTCTACACCCTTTCTTTTATTTTGTGATATATGCTTTGTTACTTTTCTTGTTACTGAGACAAAATACCTGACACCCCAAATTAAGGAAAAAAAAGTTTGGTTAACCCACAGTTTGTGGAGGTTTTGGTCCATAATCAGCTAGTTCCAAGGCAGGGTGGCTCACGGCAGTGGGGCAACAGCTCACGGCGGCAGAAGACAGAAAATGTAACAAGAGCTGAGCCTCATTCTATCCCTTGTATCCCTAGGTCAGGCTACCTGACCTAGGGCAGTGTAGCACTCACACCCATGAGCC